CCAGCAAGGAAGTAGCAGGCTAGGACCTCCCCATGGTGTGTCTCTCAGCCTGGCATGCGGTCAGCTGGACAAATACAGTCGTCACCCCCCGCCCCCATCTGCAGTTTCAGTTACCCTGCGTCAACCCCAGTCCAAAAATATCAAATGGAAAATTCCAGAAATAAAAATTCATCGGTTTTTAACCATTCTGAGAGGCATGATGAAGTCTCGGGCCCTAAACATAAATCATCCCTCTGTCCAGTGCTTATACACTACCTGCCTGAGTCACTTAGTAGCCGGTTCCATTATCAGATAGACTGCAGTGGTGTCACGGGGCTGATGTTCAAATAACGCTCATTTTATTTAATAATGGCCCCAAAGCACAAGAGTAGTGATGCTGGCAATTTGGATATTCTCTTGCTGTGCCTCATTTACAGATGAAAGTTTGTCACAGGGATGTGTATATAGGAACAAAAAAACACTGTGTATGTAAGGTTCAGTATAATCCACACATCCACTGGGGTCCTAGATAAAGGAGAATGACGGTAGGTGTGTAGTAAATTCTCTCTAGAACTCTCTGTCCTTCTCTCCCCAATCTGGGGCCAGACTAGAGAGCCAGGATCTCTGGGGTTAGTGCCAACTTTGCTTCTGATGTGCTTTGTGAAATTCTGCCCCCTTCCCCCATTCCTCCCTTGGACAAAATAACCAGTCCCCAGGGAGAGTTTCTCTAGGAAGGTCCCTCCCCTTAGCACCCACTCTTCTCCAAGCCTGTCAAGGAGTGTGCTCAACTGTCTCCTGGCTCTTCTTTGTGAGCTGGGGTGAGTCCAGGAGGTAAGCCCCAGTAGGCTGGAATTTCATGCCCCTAGTCACATGCTTAAGGGGACTTGGATAAGGTTGAGCACTACATTGTGTGTTTGTTGACAGATGACTGGGTGAGTCTCATACCTGGGGAGTTGACTTCCAGCGTCAAGGAGTCTCAGAGGTGACACTTCACTGAAGAGTCATACCCACCAGGAGGTGGGGGCACAGAGCCAAAAGTTTCCTGATGGAGCTAGGGAGTTGGTGCCAAGTATTATATTTTACCTGCCCTGTAACCAGTTAATCCTAAAGGAAATGTGTGCTAAGTTGCTTCAATTGTGTCCGACTCTTTGTGGCCCTATGGACTGGAGCCTGCCAGGCTCCTCTGTCCATGGGATTCTCCAGGCAAGAATACTGGAGTGGGTTGCCAAGCCCTCTTCCAGGGCATCTTCCCAACCCAGGTTTTGAACCTGCACCTCTTGTTGTCTGCTGCATTGGCAGGCAGGTGGTTTTGTTGTTGTTGTTGTTGTTGTTGTTGTTGTTTTACCACTAGTGCCAACAGGGAAGTCCATTAAAGGTAACCAACCCTGAATATTCACTGGAAGGATTGATGCTGAAGCTGAAGCTACAATACTTTGGCTACCTTATGCTAAGAGCCGACTCATTGGAAAAGACCCTGATGCTGGGAAAGATTGAAAGCAAGAGGAAAAGGGGGCAACAGAGAACGATATGGTTGGATGGCATCATCGACTCAATAGACATGAGTTTGAGCAAACTCTAGGAGATAGTGAAGGATAGGGAAGCCTGGGGTGCTGTAGTCCATGGGGTTGAAAAGAGTTGGACACGAATGAGTGACTGAAGAACAACAAAACCTCTTCCATACTAAGCCCTTATGGTTCGGAGTGAGCCTGGCCCAGTCCTGCCCAATCAGAGCATTGGGTCCCCTGGCCACAGGGATTGGTTCAGGGATGGGGGTGGGACTCATTCTTAACCAATGAGAATTAGCCCTGAGAGGTCTGCTCGAACTAATAGGAAAGGGACACCCTCTTTTGATGAGGGTTGTTAAACTGGTAGAACACTGGTACTCTGGGTGCTTCCGGAGACAGAACAAACTGCCTGTGCATGGAGGGCAGCAGAGCTGTCCAGGCCAGCTTTCTGATGAGATTCTTTGAGCCCCTGGATCCAGCTATGCCTGAAAGTAGTCAGTCTTTGACCTTCCTGGTTATATGAATGAATAATTTTCCCTTTTCATTTACACAACTTTTTTTACTTCGGGTTTTTTGTTGTTGTTTTTTTTTGTCATTTGCAACAAAACACATCTTTACTAATAAAATCTGTATGAGTCCAGAGGTGGCACAAATTCCAGTAAAGTTCCAAGGACAAGAGTATTGTTAGTTGTTCAGTTGTGTCTGACTCTTTGCAGCCCCATCGATTGTAGCCTGCCAGGCTTCTCTATCCGTGGGATTTCCCAGGCAAGAACACTGGAGTGGGTTGCTATTTCCTTCTTCAGGGGATCTTCCAGACTCAGGGACAAACCCAGATCTCCTGCACTGCAGGCAGATTCTTTACTGTCTGCACCGCTAGGGAAAACTTTTCAGAATTCTTAAAGATATCCTGGCTTTGAAGGAGAGGCAAGCTTTGTTACCGCGGGGAAAATGAGAGAGGACATTCCAGGTGGGAGAATAGTAAATTCACAAAGGCACAAGATGTGAGAGAGGAGCAGTGGGTATGTGTGTGGGTGACATCTTAGCAGGTCCTGAATGCCCAGTGAAGGGTGACTCACAGTCCTGAGAGCAGTAGGGAGCCATGGAAGGTTGAGGAGCAAGGGGAGTCTACTCTGAACTTGCCTTTACTTCCCGGAGCCCCAGATCATGGTGGTTCATCACCCACCCACACCTGCTGCCCCTTCCCCCTTGGCCAAGGTGGGAGGAGGGATCAGACTAAGGAAGGCACAGGCTGCCATCTGTATGCAAATTGCCTGGAATGCCATGCAGATGAGGGATCTTATGCAAATGTATGCCCTCTTGGGAGGCAGGCCAAGACCCTCCCCCCATTAATTTGGGGACCAGGTGCTGGGTGGAGCATCCCTTTCTCCCTGGGGTTCCCTCTCTCCCCTCCCCCAGCCATCTGTTCCCTCCCCCTCCAGCTCCCCAGATCCCCCCTCACCAATATCTGCCCTTAATGTGGTATCTCTCCACCTGGGTCCTTTCTTGCTTTTCTTTCTGTCTCTCCATTTTCCATGAATGATAATAATAATACTAAACACATACTGAACACATGCTCTGTGCCAGGCTTTGCACCAAACACTTTTCACAGTTATCAAATTCTCCCAACAAGTCCATGATTTCTCTGCGTGTCTGCTGGATTTTTCAAAAGGAATATTCCATTCTGGGTGGGGGAGGGAAGGATTGGGAGTTTGGGGTAGCAGATGCAAACTATTATATATAGGATGGATAAACAACAAGGTCCTACTGTATAACACAGGGAACTCTATTCAATATTCTGTGATAAATCCTAATGGAAAAGAATACAAAAAAGGCTGTATATATATGTAAAACTGAATCACTGTGCTGTACGTCGGAAACTAACACAACATTGTAAATCAACTATACTTCGATTAAAAAAAAAAATGTGAGCTGAACGTCCATGGGAAGGATGGAAAGATTAAGCCTCAAGTATCCGAGAGTCCTGGGGTTTCCCTGGTGGCTCAGATGGTAAAGAAACCCATCTGAGCAATGCAAGAGACCCGGTTCGATGCTTAGGTCGGAAAGATTCCCTGGAGAAGGGAATGGCTACCTACTCCAGAATTCTTGCCTGGAGAATCCCATGAACAGAGGAGTCTGGCGGGCTACAGTCCGTGAGGTTGCAAAGAGTCGGATACGACTGACTGACACTTTCGTTTCACTTATCCAAGAGTGCTTGGGTGACTCTTGGGGACTCTCGCTCTGCTGGGTGAGTCCCGCGCTCACGTCATGCAGGCGGGAGCCACGGCCAGCAAGCTTGTTTTCCTCCACCTGCAGGTAGGTGTGGCTGAATGCATTTGCCCTCACGCGGCCTGGCAACTTCCGGGTGTGGATCCTCCCTGCTCCCCCTCGGCTCTGGGCGTGGAGACCATGCTGCGAGGACAATAGAGCCCCGAGAACTGCCCATCTCAGGCGGCAGGACTTTGATCGTTTGTTCCCCATCTCTGTGTTAACCTGCCCCATCTCTCTTCTTTCTCCCATGTGTTTTATTATACATTTATTTTTAATCTTTTGGCCGCACCCGAGGGGAATCTTAGTTCCCCAACCAAGGATTGAACCCCGACCCCTGCATTGGAAGGCGGAGTCTTAACCACGGGACCACCAGGGAAGTCCCCCCTGTTTGTATTAATCTGACTCAATAAATCATGGGATTTGAGCACCTTAATTCGGCCAGTGTGAGCTCTTCCATTCTGGAAATCTCTGAGCATTTGCTCAGTTGCCTACGAGGAGGCTCCCATAGCATCTCTTCAACTCCCCATGGCCACAGATCCCACGTGGTCCATCTGGTGGCTGAGTAAACTGAGGCCGGGGTGGGGTCACCGGCAGAGACCTCCAGCATGCATTGCACAGGGATACTAGCTCTCTCTCCTCACAGTGGCCGTCCACGGCCCAAGTGTGGTTTCTCTCTATCTGATGGACTCAGGGAGGTGAAGTCACTTGCCCAAGGTCACACTTGTCTGCCTCCCACTGCTTCTGAGCTGCTCTTTTGAAACTTTTCTTCCCCCTCCCTTCCTAACTGGAATGATCTCTCTGAATCCCACTTCTTTCTGTGTTTCTGTCTGTCTGTGCAGCCCTTCCTCTCTTTATGCACATTACTTTACTGTGCTCCACAGATACTGCTTTTTTTTTTTTTTTAATAAATTACAGGTTCGTGGCAACCCTGTGTCTATTGGTGCCATTTTCCCAACAACCTTTGCTTGCTTTGTATCTTTGTGTCACATTTGTAATTCTTGCAATATTTCAAGGTTTTTCATTGTTCTTCTGTTTGTTATGGTCACTGATGAGTGACCTTTGATGTGACCACTATGACTCACAGAAGGCTCAGACGATGGTTACCATTTTTAACAAGAAAGTGTTTTGTTTTTGAAAGTGTTTCTTAAGTTAAGCTGTGTACTTTTTTCTTCCCCCCCAGGCAGAATGGTATTGCGTACTTACTACAGTACAGTGTAAATGTAATATATGCACTGGAAAACCAAAAAATTCATGTGACTTGCTTTATTTTGATCTTCGCTTTATTGCTGTGGTCTGGAAATGCACAGTAAATAGATCCAGGACGTGTCTCTATTTGTCTGTCTTTGCCTCTCTCCCCACATCTCTGTCTGACTCAGTGGCTCTCTCTCTATTCTGAGCAACTCCAGCCCATCCCTCTGACCTCCCCCTTAGGCTCTCCATCCTCCTTTCAAATGCCTCTCCCTCCGCTGCGGTAAGTCTCTGTTTTGCTGTTTCTGCCGTCTCTTCTCTCTGCCTAGATCCCTTCATGGGGGTTCCTCCAAGTTGCCCCTCCACCCCGCCAAAGGCTGTCCTCAGAGGAGATGCCTAAATCCCTAATTCCATCCACTCTACAGCTCAGAGAGAGCTTTTCCTCTGGATGCTTCAATTCCCTCTGGGCCTCTGGCAAGAGAGACTGGGCATTTTTTATTTAAGGGGACAGCACCCCACCTCCCCCCAAAGGCACTGGTCTTCAGGGGCCAGGTTCAGTTCCCTGTGGACCCCCAGCACCTCTCTTCTCCACATTTTTCCAGCTGAGTCACCCTCCATCCTCTCTCTCTCATTTCTTTCTCCATGACATCAGATTTTTCCTGAGGTCCAGCAAGGGGGTGGGAGAGCCAGGAGGGCCAGAGCATCACCTGCACCCCTCTTCCCCTCTCATCCCCTAGAGGAGGCGGCTCTGGCCACAGGATGGTGTCTAGGTGACAGCATTTATTCCAGACTCCAGTGTCCACAGATGATGGGGTCAGGGCAGGGGGCGGGAATCCAGTGTCAGACTCTGCAGCAGGACGTCAGGTGGGAGGCGGGGGACCAGCAATGGAGGCAGGAGGTAAAAATAGCCCCAGCCAGCCGACCCTCCAGCCTCGTCCCAGGCCAGGACTTGGGCTCAGGTCCAGGAGCTATTCTGGGGCCTGGGAGAGTCACAATCCCTGGAGGAAGGTCCCCTCCCTCCCAGGCTGCTATGATCCCTGCCCAGCCCACAGAGGAAGGAAGGGAGGGTCCAGAGAGCAAAGAGGGAAGGCCGGGAAGGTGGGGGCAGGCGGAGGCGTGAGCGGGGCTGGCTTTCTGATGCTCGCGACTCCAGGTCGGGTTCAATGAGTGCCTCTGGGAAGGTCCTCAGGCTCAACACTGGGGAGAAGATGGGGAGATCAGCCTGGGCCCACAGCGTTTCTTCCACCCGCAGGGGTCCCCTCTCCCCAGGGGCCCAGGCCCTCACTCACCTCATCTCCAAAGCCCCCACTCCCATGGTTGGCTCCTCCGGAGGCACTCCCCTTGAGAAGGCCCGTCTGCTCCGGCTGCTCTGATCCTGAGTGGCTCAGTTTGGGGTCCCCAGGTGGCCTAGCGGGAGGAGGCAATGTGTTGGAGGTGGTCATGGCCAAGGAAGGAACTGGCCATGGGTGTGTCAGATGGGGGTAGACTTGGGGATGGGTGGGTGGAAATGAGCTGGGGGTGAGGTAGGAGGTGGAAGCGGCCCCGGGGTCAGGGATGGGGTGAGGACATGCTTGACGCTGCTCTTGGAGCTGGAGCTGGTGATGTCACTGGGATGGGTTTTGGGGAGGGCTGTGGGGATGGCTGGGCTTCCCTGGTGGCTCAGTGCAGTGCAGGTTCAATCCCTGGGTTGGAAAGATGCTCTGGAGGAAGGCATGGCAACCCACTCCAGTATTCTTGGCTGGAGAATCCCATGGGCAGAGGAGCCTGATGGGCTATATGATCTATGGGGTCTCAAAGAGTTGGACACGACTGAGGCGACTTAGTACGCATGCACGTGGGGATGGCTGTGGACTGAAGTTGAGGGTGGTTGTGTGGTCGCGGTTGGAGATAAGGTTGGATGGGGATGGGTTTGAGTTAGGAATGGGATGGGGCGTTGTGCAGGGGGGCTTGGGATGGGGAGGTGGTTGAAGCTGTGTTTGGTTACTGGATATGCCCTGGAGCTGAGGGTGCGGCTGGGGGAGAGGTTGGCGTTGGAGAGGAAACTGGAGGTATAGATGAGGTTACTTTGGGATTGGGGTGGGTGTGGATCACAGGTAGGGATAAGATTGGGGACGGGGTTAGGTGAACTTGGGGTGGGCTGGGAGTTGGTTATGGGTTGGGTGGGGTTGAGGAGAGGGGAGGGGACAGTCATGGCCCAGGTCGGAGGTTGGAGATGGGATGGCATTTGCCGATGGAGTTGGGGTTGGGGCTGTGGTTGGTTTGGGGCTGAGGTTGGGGGTGAGGTCAGGGTTGGGGTAGAGAGGTCAGTTTCAAGGTTGCAGGCCACTCACGGAGACCTCTTCTCGCCCTGCCGGCAGTAGCAGGGCCGCCCCTTGCGTCTCATGCAGTAGAAGATGGCAACGACGAGGAGCAGGAGGGCCACGCTGATGGCCACGGCCATGACCGCCACGCCGGCCTGGGAGGTCTGGGGGGCCACTGCGGGGCAAGGCGGAGGGGGAGGGGTCAGCCAGCAGCCCTCTGTCTGACCCCCGCACCTAGTGTCGGTTCCATCCCGGCGTTTACTCACCGGTTCCAAAGTGGAAGACATGCTGGGTGTTCCCGAGAGGGTTGGAGGCCTCACAGGAGACACCGTCTTGGCTCAAGGCACTGGTCACCTTCAGGGTCAGGGAGCTGCTCACCCAGCCCTGGCCCCCGGGGGCCGGTTCTGTGGGCTGTGGAGGCTCAGGTCAGGCCCAGGCTTGCAGGATCAAGGGCTCGGGGGGTGGGCAGAGGTGAAAAGGAAGTGGTCGGTGGAAGTGGAGGGTGGGAGGACACAATCCGTGGACCGTTGAGGGGGCTGGGGTTTGGGGAGGGCCAGAGGAGGGTCCCTTACGCTGCCGCCCAACTGGCTCCAGCTAAGTTTGGGCTCCGGGTAGCCACGGGCATAGCAGATCAGGGTGACTTCATCTCCTTCGGTCCAACTGCCTTTGACCTTGGGCTGAGTCTCCTTTGCCTTCAACTCTGGTGTCCCTGTGGGTGGTGGGGCAGGAAAGGGGGTGAGAAGCAGGCATCTGGGGAAAGGAAAGGAGGGAGAGAAAAAGAGGAGAGAAGGACCAGCCGTGGACCCATCTCATTTGTCCTGGCCCCCCACACCCCCCATACTATCCCCATCCCAGCCTGCCCGCACCCCGAACCTTGAACCAGCAGCCTGAAGCTCCGGGTGAGACTCAGGAGGGGGATCCTGGGCATGTAGGCCTCACACGTGTAGGTGCCGGCGGAATCGAAGGTGACGGAGTGGAGGGAGAGTGTGGGGTCCTCCCCCACGGGTGCTGAGTCCTGGCGGGGAGAGAAAGAGCAGGCACCGGCTGGGCGTGAGAGACAGGGAGGGGTTGATGGCAAGGGGAGGGTCCTGTGCTGGGGAGGGACGCCCTTCCCTCTCACCTTGGTCCAGTATAGGGTCGGGGTGGGCAGGCCTCGCGCAGAGCAGGTCGCGGTTGTGCTGTTACCCAGAGGTAAGGAGAGCTCCTCCCCTGTGCTGAGCTCCAGGGAGTCCAGGTCTGGAGTGGGGGGAACAGAGTGTCACCTTCCCCAGACCCTCGCCTGATCAGTTAAGGGATCCCCAGGGCTTTTGAGGAGGGCAGACGTGAATGGACAATTGTCAGCAGAGAATGCCAACTTCTCCCCAGCTCCACGAGCTCTCCACTCTCTCATCTGGGCCCTTGAGCCCAGATCTAGGAGTCTGACTCCAAAACACATGCCCATGGGCCTTTCCTGGTGGTCCAGTGGCTAAGACTTTGTGCTCCCAATGTAGGGGGCCCGGGTTTGATCCCTGGTTGGGGAACTAGACTCCACACGCCGCAATGAAGACCTGGTGTAGCCAAATTAAATAAATAAAATAAACACTTAAAACAACAACAACAACAACAAAAAAAAACAAAATACAGGCCCACTTTGACCACCTGCCTCCAGAGCTGACATCTGAACCCAAGGTTAGTGGATAACCTGGGAGGTGTTGGGCGCTCCTTCTCTGACTATCCCTCAAACCTTGGCCTTCTCTCCTCCGCACGACCCATTTTTTTCAGCAAGTCTTTCTCTGCTCTGTCCCCCAAGTGGATCGTCTCACTTCTTTCCATCTCTGATCCTGGGGTCCAACTGCGTTAACCACTATAGTCACGTCCTCACTGGTCTCTGTACTGGACAGGACTCTTGTCCTCTCTGGTCTGTTCTTTGCTGAGCAGCCAGAGGGATCTTTTCTTTTTTAAATAGCGAAAGTGTAGTTGCTCAGTTGTGTCCAAGTTTGACTTAAAAAAAAATTTTTTTTAATGTATTTAATTTTGGCTGTGCTGGGTTCTTTAAAAAAAAAAAAAAAACAGCCCACTCCTCTTTTTTTCTTTTTTTTGGTAGTGCCCAGGCTTCTCTAGTTGCATCGCGGGGCTTTGTGATGGTATGTGGGAATCTTAGTTCCCCAACCAGGGACTGAAACCAGGTCCCCTGCACTGGGAGCGGGGAGTGTAATCCACTGGACCACCACGGAAGGCCCCCAAGGGATCTTTTCAAAACACACACTGGTCAGCCCTTGCCTCTGCTTAAAATCTTGCAGTGAGGAGAAAAAAACAAACCAAAACAAAACCCTGCAGTGGTCCCCCAGTACGGTGGGCATACAGGCCTCTTTCCTTGATGAAACCAAAAAGTCCCGCCTGGCTGCCCCTGCCCACTGCTTCAGCCTCATCTCCCACCTTCCCCTCTGTTCCCTGAGCTCTGGCTACCCTGTTCTTTCCCTGGTGTTCTCCAATATGCCAGTGTGGGCCTCAGGGCCCTTGCATGTGCTGTTTCCGCAGCCTGGAATGCCTTTCTTCTGGCTCATCATATCTCTGGTTCCATTCTTCGGTTTCCTACACATGTTCTTCTCAGAGAGGTCTCTCTGACCCTCTGTCGTGGACACTCAGATTTCCCCTTTGGCACCAAAGGATTTCCTCCCCCAGCTGTTGAGAAGGGTGTCAGCTGTCAGCCCTCAGCTGTCAGCCCTCTCTGGAAATTGCCTGAGCCACAGAGAGAGCCCCTGGCTCAAGGTCATGTCTCCTCCTTACCCAGGCAGCCCACATCCAATGACGGGTTGACGTGGACATACAAAAGTCCCGGCCCCTGAACCCCAACTGGGGATCTCTCAGCTTCTAAGTGCCCTGTGAACACGTCGAGGTCTTCCTTAGGCTGAAGCTCAACTTCCACCTTTGTTGCATCCTGCTTCCTTCCCTCATCCCCCCCCTCCCCAAGAGGTGTGGATCCCGGGGCACTCCCCATAAATTTCCTGCCTGCAGTCAGAATCTGCAGCCCCCAACACTCCCCATGGAAAATAATACCTACTCGCTGCACCAGTTCCTTATCCCACTCCTCTGCGTTAGTCTCTATAGAGGCAGGACTGCGACTCAAAGTGTGTGTTCAAAAAAAAAAAAAAGTGTGTGTTCAGCGTTTAACATCTGTCACCCCTACTGGACCCTGGAGCTTGGTGGAGGCTGGGGCTGCGCTATCTTGTTCACCTGTGGCACAGGGTCTAGCCCGAGGAAGGGAGGTAACAGGAGTGCTCAGGAGGGACAGAGTCTCTGCTCAGGGCTTGTGTGCAGGTGGACCAAGAAGGCTTCTTGGAAGACTGGGACCCGAGAGGTGGGTTGGGATTGGACAGAAGAGAAGATGGGGAGTTACTGTAGGAAAGAGAAGAGCTTGGGGTGTGATGGGGAGAGGGGTCCGCCGAAGGGGAGGCCAGCCGAGTGGGTCTTGAAGGCTGGGGTGAAGCATGTGGGTTTTGTCCCCAGAGGACTGGGGAGCTACGCAGGTTCTAGGCAGGAGAAGATCAGGTGTATGCCTTGGAAAGGGGTCTCTGGCTGCCTTTGTATGGGAGACTGGAGGGGCTGGGGGCATTGAGATTAGGCTGGGCATCATAGAAAGGGTTGGAGACAGGAGGGGGGTGGTGGCAAGGGTGAGGAGATCGCTGATGCCAGGGCCCCCCTCCCACTCTGGGGGCTCTCACAGGCCACTTGCAGCTCCAGGGTTTTGGAGAGCTCCGCGTCCTCGGGGGCGTCGTAGTCCTCCACCCTGCAGCCATAGGTCCCGCTCTGGTTCCGCTGTACCCTCTCCAGCGTCAAGTTCCCCTCAAGACTTGTTTTTAGCACATCCTCCTGCTTGTCCTGGGGGAGACCAGGAGTGAGGAACCCGGTTCAGGAGATGCTCTGGGCTGGCAGGGTCAGGTTAGGTCAGGGGTCACCCAAGCCAGGCATCAAGGTATGTCAAGGCTCTCACAAATTGAGGAACAGATAGCTCCTGGGTCATTGATCACATGTCTTGTTAAGCCAGGGGTCACCCAGGTGAAGGGTCAGAAGTTGGTACAGATGAGTAGATCGCAGAAGTCAGGGAAATGAGGGGGTGGGTTACCTGAAGCCGGAAAAACGTGTACTCCGGGCTGGGACTGCCGTCCCCTCGGCACAACAGCTGGACAGAGTCACCCTCGCGGACCCAGCCCTCGGCAGTGGACTGGCTGCCCAACCAGAAGAGCACGTGCTCTGTGGGATCTAAGGCAAAGGGTAGACTCACGATCAGGGTCAAGGGTAAAAGGCAGGGCTAGGTTAAGGGGGAGAGGCCAGCACTGCAGCAAAGGAAAGGGCTATGTTTGGCCCAAGGTGAGAGGTAATATCTTTTTTCTCTTTATTTTTGCCATGCCGTGAGGCATGTGGGATCTTAGTTCCTTGACCCGGGATTGAACCCACACCCCCGGCTTTGGAAGCGTGGAGTCTTAACCAGGGAAGCTCCCTAGAGGTCATAGCTTTTGAGGCTCAAGTTTGCACTTGTTCTGAGGTCAGGGACCCGAGCTCAGAGGTGGAGAGGACAGGTCAGTGCGCACCTTGGGAAGGGCTCTCTGGCTGCTTTGTATGGGAGCCTGGAGGGGCCGGGGACATCTAGACCAGGGCAGGCACCATAGAAAGGGTTGGAGGCAGGGTTGTGGAGGGGGTGACTCCACACTTCCAGTGCAGGGGGCGCAGGGTCGATCCCTGGTCAGGGAACTACGATCCCACATGCCTCATGGCGTGGCGCCCCCCCCAAAAAAAAAATGACCCCTAACCTTTGGCAACGTTAGTCCTTTCCTCTGCTGCAGTGTGGGTGACAGGTCAGTGTGCGATTCGGGGGGACCCGTTTCAGGGTGGAAGCATGGGGCACAACGGTTAGTCCTGAGACTCCACGGGGTTCAGGGTGTTATGGGGGGAGTCAGAAGTCAGGATGGGGTTAGAGGTCAGAGGCCAGTACCCACTCCAGCCAGAGGTAAGGGAGCAGAAGGCCTGGAAGGGGTGGGGCAGGTCACGGGGTCACCGTGGAGGGTCAGGCCTCGGCAGGAGAGGTCCAGGTGGGGGTGGCCGGGGGGCCGGCTCGGACTCACAGTGCAGGTTGAGGGAGAAGGAAGGGCTGTCCAGGCGGCCGTGCTGGCCAGCGGGCAGGTAGTAGTGTGCGGAGCAGTGGAAGCTGGCCTCCCTGTCAGGCTTGTGGAGCCGCAGGTAAAGGGTGCTGCTAAAGGACAGCAGGCCGGAGGCCTCCCGGACAGTGCGGATGGTCACGTAGCCCTCTGCGAGAGAGGGCGGCAGGGGAGGCGGTCAGCCAGCCCGGCCACTGCCCAGCCCCTGCCCAGCCCCAGCCCCAGCCCCTGAGGTCTAGCCGCGCTCCCTCAGGCGCCACTCACCAGAGTTCACCTCCAGCGGCACGGCCAGGGACTGCCCATTCCGATACCATTTGATCTGGGGCACTGGGTTCCCGTTGCGGCTGGTGCAGGTGGCTATCTGGGACAGACATGGGCCCTCACTGGGCTGGGAGCCAGGACCCTGGAGTCCGGGTCCCCCTCCCTGGGGGTGGGGGTGGGGGACCAGACCAGACGCAGATGCACGAGTCCAGCTCCCAACCCTCTCCTCCCGGGAGACCCAAGGTCGGAACTCCCGGACCCCTACTCCTCGGACTGGGAAGCCTGAGCCCCCAGCCTCTCCCGACCTTGGGCTGTAGGAGCCCAGGACCCCCTCCTCCCCTCAGAACCCTGGAAGCAAGGTGCGGCCCAAGGTACCTCCTCGGCAAAATCACTCATCACAGTCAGGGTTCCTTTGTAGGAGGAGACCTCCGGGGCCTCTGGTTTGACTGCGGGAGTAACTTACAGTCAGGAGCTGCTTCCCGGGGTTCTCACCTCCCTGCCCCTTCCCAGGATGTGTGTGTGTTGTGGGGGGGGTTGGTCAGAAGGGAGACACACACACTCACCATACACTTTGAGCCTGGCGGTGGCCTCGGCGGTGCCCGCTGCCCCCGCCTTCACCACGCACACGTAGTCGCGCTCATCGGCCACCTGGGCCTCAGGCAGCACCAGGCGCCCCCGGGAGTCCAGCTGGTATGGGGGGCTGCGGCCCCGGGAGTTGAGCACTTTGTCCCGGAGCTCGGAGCCACGCAGCTCGGCGGAGGCCAGGAGGTGGCGGACCTCGGAGCGGTCGACCTGCGGTCAGGGGAGCATCTCAGCGAGAGGCTGCCCGGCCGCGGGCCCTCCTCTGTGTCCCCTTTCTCTGCCGCTCCGTGGGTCTCCTTGTCTCAAGTTTTCTCGCTCTCTCTCTGGTCCCTCTGCCCTCTCTCCAGCTCTCCCACCCCTGCTGCCTGTCTGCGGTCACCTTTTCCCCTCTCTGTTTCCCTCTTTTGCCCTCTCACTGTGTTCCCACCTCTGTCTCCCTTTCCTGCCCTGGGTCTCCTGTTTCTCCTTCTCTTTAGTCCCATCCCCGGGCTCCTGCCTTCTGGGTGTCTGCCTCTGAATGTCCTCTTTCAAGAGCCAGGGGACTGCTTTCATTCTAGCCTCAGCTGTGCCCGGACATCAGGGTACCCTGGAGAGGGGCTTCCCCTTGCTGGGCCTCCATTTCCCCACCTGTAAAATGGAAAGGCAGCTTGGTGGGGTTCCTAGGGGCTTTCGGGCTCAGATGAGGGGATGAAGGTTTGCAGCCCCACTGCGCCCTGACTCTCAGGCCCCCCTCTGTCACGCCCTCGCTCCCAGCCCACAGCACTCACCAGGAACCATTCCAGCATGAAATAGTCATGGGTCCCCAAGGGGCTGCAGTCCAGAGTGACAGATTCCCCCCTCATCACCTCCACCAGGGGGGGCACAGACAGGCGGACCTCAGCCTTGGAACCTGCGGGAGGACAACTGAGCTCTCTCCCACTGCCACCAGGAGGCAGAGCTCTCCAGGTCCCCAGTCCTCCTCTCTCAGACCCGGGATCCAGGCCCCCAGCCCCTCCTCCCTCAGATCCAGGGGTCCAGACCCCCTACTCTCCGCCCTCAGACCCAGCGGTCCAGGCCCCCAGCCCCTGCTCCCTCAGACTCAGCTCCTCTCTCCCCCATCTCTCATTTCTGCATCTCTGAGCTTCAGATCCCATCAGCATGTCTCTCCATCTCCCCGTTCACTTGCAGAACTGAAGACTCCTCCCCTGGGCCACACAGAGCCCTTGGTGGCCTCCAAACAATCTTCTTGGGCTCAAATCCTGTGTGTCCTTGCTTGTCCCACTAGACCCAATGCCCCTCGAGGGCAGGGCCTTGGCGGGCTCATTCCTTAGCCTCCAGCACTTCACCTGGGGCCTGGCACAACAAGGTGGATAATCATCTCCATCTCAGTCACGCCTCTGCATGTGTGCGTGTGTGCGTGTGTGTGTGTGCGCGCGCCCCTCACCCTGCATCTCCGTCTCTTAGTTTCACGGTTCTCTGTGCTCCTCTCAATCTCCGTGTGGCCCGGCCCTGCCCCCCGGGTCTCTCTGTCAGGGGCGGGGGGCTGGGGCTGGGCTGGAGCTGAGGCAGGATGGGTGTGTGGGCGCGGTGAGGGGGGACAGGGCTGGGCAGGTCTCAGGAATGTGGGAGGGACAGGCTGGCTCAGACCTGCCCGAGCCCCCCACCTGCCCCTCGGCCCCTCTAACTCTCTGATAGAGCAGCAGAGCCTGCCTCAGAGCAGGACGGGATGGAGACCCTGGATCCGGTTCCTGAGGGTGAAGGGAGCGGAGGGCCGGGACTCCCATCCCAAGATCCGGGCAGGTAGAGGTGTTCGCATCAGGAAAGCGAACTCTTTCAGTCTCTGGGCTGGCATCCTGGCCTGAGCTCTCAGTTCTTACAATCTCCCTTCCCTTCCCCGCCCAGCCTGGACCAGCTCTGCCCCTGGGGACCCACTGGTCGCCAAGCTTGTGCCAGGGCCCTGGATTCCCAGGCACCCACCTCTGGCCCGGGGCCTGCCCCATGGGAGGGAGTGTGGGGCCAGGCTGGTGCCCAGGGCTGGGTCTGAGCAGTAGAGGCAGCAAGGCCGGTCGGAGCGATCTCTCTCTCCCCCAGTTCTCTCTTCCCCCAGCCCCCGAGGGCCTCTACGTCTCCTCCAACCACGACGCAGGTGCGTGGCTTTATCTGGGCCCCGGGGAAGGGGGGCTCTGTCACTTAGAAACACTTGGTTCTGCTGTCACTGCCCAGGGGCTGGGCTCCAGCCCTTTCTGATGGAGCGGGAGGCGAGAGGGGCGGGTCCTTTAGAGTCTGGGCTCTGAATCTGAATGGGGGGAACCCGCAACCGCATGTGACTTGCTGGTTTCTAGCCAGAGGGTCCCTGACCCTCTCAAAACTTGACAACTTTTGAGCGGGGAGCTCCGCTTTGGCCTCTTCTGTCCCCGGGGAAAAGGCACTCCGGGCCACTGGAGGCCAGGACCTCTGGGTCCGGGGGAGTAGGGTCCAGGCGGGGGTGAGAGCGGGGGCAGATCTCAGCGTCTGAGGGGGCAGGGAGCGGAGCGCCCGCACTCCTGGGTCCCACGACTTCTCAGATCGCTTCTAATACACAGCTGAAGATCCCCAGCCCTCTGCCTGGCTGTCGCTAGGTCTCTCACTGGGAGGGGCACCCCCATATCCCTCCTTTCCTGGGGTCCCTGGGGTTGGTGAAAGCCCACTCCCCCTCGTCCCCCCCTCCAAACCCGGGCGCCAGGCCAGGACCTCCCACTGCCCGGAGCCGACCTCCCAGCGCTCAGCCGGGAGCCAGGCTCCCCGCCCCCAGGCCCCAGGGTGTCAGGCTCCGACTGACCAGCGCCCCTGGCGGGTGACCTGACCAACCAGTTCGGCCGGTGTCCACAAGGGGGTCCTCCCTGGACCACCGCGGTCCCTCTCCGCCTCACTCTCACCGGCGGGACCCGTTCTCACCCCGGCCTGTGACCTGGGCTCCCCTCGTCGTTTTCGACCTGCTGGCCCGGGTCCAACCAGTGGCCTGCACCGGCCTCTCCAAATCCAACCAGCAATCCCCCACCTCTCCAGTGGCCAGTGCGCTGGGCTGCTTTCCTGTCTGACCAGTGGCCTGGAACCCACCCGGTTCTAATGTCTAATAGTTCTAATGTCTAATGTCTAATGGTTCTAATGTCTAATGGTCCTCAACACCCAGCTCTGCCCAGGCCTCTGAGATGCTGGCGGGGGCGGGGGTTGTGGGGTGCTCTTCTCTTAGCTCTCCTCCCTAGGGCCCTCCCTCTCTTCCCCCCTTCCAGGGAATCCTAGGAATGCCACCCCCCTTCCTCCCTTTCTCTTCCCTTTCCTCCCTTCCAACTTTGGGGGGAGGGGAAGAGAATCGGGGTTGACAGGTGAGTGGGGGCGGGGAGGAGGCCCAGGCACCTGAGGGGGAAAAAGGAGGAGTCCTGCCTTGGGTCACAAGGAAAGGTCACAGGTCAGACTTGGGATCACAGATCAGAGTGCCCACAGCTCCTTACAAGGCAGGCCTGGCTGGGACAAAATTCCTAGATGCTGGCTGGGGGGGTGGGGGTGGGGTGAGATTTCACTGGTTACCCGGGAGAAGCTAGCTCTCAACACTGGCTAGTAAGGGGCAGCTGGTCATGCTGGGAGACTTTCCCCAGGCCTCTGATCAGATGTGGGGGGTGGATGGGCAGAAGGGGGACCACTGGTCCAGGGACATCTTAGATTACAGGTCAGTGCAGGGGTTACTGGTCAGACTGGTCAAGGCTACTATGTCCATACAGGAACGTGATTGTTCTAGTTGGGAGAGGTGACCTTTTAGTGTTAGCTCTCCTTCTCCAGGAAGCCCTCCCTGCTCTCCTAGGCTGAGTCAAGTGCCCACCTCTGGGCTCCCCCACCCAGCCCTGCCCATTCTGGGTCATCTCTGTCTGGGGATAAGTCTGTCTCCCCCACTGGACCGTGAGCCGGTAAGGGAAGGCCCAGGGCTCGTGTGGTCACCACTGTGTCCCCAGTACTGTCCAGCCCAGGCAAGACATGGAGAAAACACTCAGGGAAGGTTTGCAAGGCTCAAACGCAGGAGCACACAGGCTCATATGCAAACCCCACCCATACTGCATCATCACCCAACACACCTGCAAACTCAAGAGTGGACAAAAGAGCTCCCTGGCACAAGCTTCCACACAGGGACCCCAGGCACCCACTCCCCAGCTCCCCTGACCCTGGCTCATACACCTTCTGCTTGGGCTGCTAGGTATACCCTTTCCTCAACAGCCCCCTTCCTCCTTCCTGAAGAATCCAACCAGCTGGGGTTCTGGTTCTGGTTCATAAACATGGGGGTGTATGGAGTGTGTATGAGGAGGGAAGTCATAAATACCAGGGCCATTTCCTAGAGGACTTGCACCAACTAGTACTGAAATATCTGTCTTTGCCCCCTACAATTTACTTCCACAAAACAGCCGGAAGTATCCCATTAAAATGTGAGTCAGCTCCTGTCACCCTTCTGCTCAGGTCTTCTCCTTCTGAGTAAAAGCTGAAGTCCTTTCCATGGTGCGCAATGTCCTGGATCTGGTCCTCATTGCCTCCCCGGCCTCATCTTCCTCTTCTCTGCCCCGCCTCGCTAGCTCTCTTCCTGCCACATTGATCTCTTTGCCTCCATGCTCTTCCTCCATCGCCAGGCTTGTTCCAGACTCAGGACCTTTGCTCTTGCTCTTCCCTCTCGTGGGACATTCTTTCCTGCCATCTCTCCCTCCCTGTCTTGCTTCAAATCTCTACTGCATCATCTTATCACAGAGCTTCCCTTAACCATCCTTTCTGATGCAGCAGTTAACCCAGCCCTTTATCTCGCTACATTTTTCCTCCGCAGCACTTATCGCTGCCACATATTTATTTTTTATTGTTTTGCACAAAACAGAAGCTCCAGGAGAATGGGAACTTTAGTTCACCACTGTATCCCCAGTGTCTAGAACGGTGCTTGGGGTAAGGAACTGACTATGCCTGCAATCAATGAATTTTCTAATTCCATTGCTGTCTCATGTGTAACTACTTAGACATTTTAAGTAACAAGCCCCATATTTCTATACCTTTATTCTATTATCTTAAATACAGTGTGGGATGTGTGTTTCGTGCTCAGTCACTTCCGACTCTGTAGCCTGCCAGGCTCCTCTGTCCATGGGATTTCCCAGGCAAGAATACTGGAGTGGGTTGCCATTTCCTCCTCCAGGGGATCTTCCCGACCCAGGGATCGAACCCAGCCAGATTCTTTACCGCTGAGCCACTGGAGAAACCCACAGCGTGGGCCAGTTACTCTGAAACTAGTTCACAGATTGTGTAATACAGGGGAGTCATGATGTATTTGGAGGGGGAATGTCTACTCCCCCATGATTCTAGACTTGCATCTGGAAAATGTAACTACTGAGAGTTTGTGTTGTCTTGGGGGCCAGCATGATACATTTTTATTTGTACAAGACTTAATTGTGCAAGGAGAGCTTTGATAAGAACTTTTGGGGTTGGAGACTTCTCTGGTGGTCCAGTGGCTAAGACTCTGAACTCCCAATGCAGGGGGCCGAGGTTCGATCCCCGGTCAGGGAACTAGATCCCATATGCCATAACTTAAGAGTTCACATGCTGCAACTAAGGCCTGGCACAGCCAAAATAATAAATACAAAGTATTAAAAAAAGAACTCTGTGGGGAAGAGAATGTAAGTCTAAATCGAAGGATACCTACTGATGCTGAACATTCAAAGGGGTGGATTACAATGGACTTTTGTGGAGAGGGGTTAGCTAGCAGCCCCTTCAGGGCTTCCCAGGTGGTGCTAGTGGCAAAGAACTTGCCTGCCAATGCAGAAGACATAAGAGATGTGGGTTCAATCCCTGGGTTGAGAAGATCCCCTGGAGGAGGGCATGGCAACCCACTCCAGTATTCTTGTCTGGAGAATCCCCATGGACAGAGGAGCCTGATGGGCTACAGTCCATAGGGTTGCAAAGAGTCGGACACGACTGAAGCAATTTAGCATGCACACAACCTCATCGCACATTAAAAAAAAAAAAAAAAATCCTTGCCATCCAAAAGCCTGTTACCCTTTGCTGAAACCAAACAGATATTTCTTTCCTGCCTCCGGTGTAGCTCAGCTGAGCTAAGCCTGGTGAATCCCACTCTACCTTGGAATCAGGTGCTAATGCCAAACAAACCAAGACTGGCTAATCTATCCCCTTGACAGCAGATGGACAGGTTCTACTTTACAAAGATGGCTGTGATGATAGCTCTCACCCCACATGCTCTCCTATAAGCTGAGCTTGACCATCTTTCTCTTGAGAGGTGAGGGTCTATCTATTAAACACGTCCCCTCCTTTTAAATCTGCGCCTCTAACCATTAGAATGTGGCAGAACTGGGGACTTCCCTGGTGGTCCAGTGG